ACGATTAACGTATAGCTCATCCTGTTTTTTATATAGCAGTTGGTGCAAATTAAAAAGTTTTGGATATTGCCCATTTTTATTCCAAGGATCAGGAAAATTGAAATATTTTCTATCATTTTCAGTTAATTACAAAATTTATCGAGGAAAAAGCTTTATTTTACCCTTAAGTATTTATTCCGTGCTTTAATTCATTTAAATGATCCAAGTATTTAAAGCTTTTTCTTCGATATAAATTTTATTATTAATATATACCCTTGAAAAAATTCAAAGATTAAAAGAAAAAAGAAAATAAATATACTTCACGAAAACGACTATTACATCAATAGATTTAAAGTTTTTGAGTAATCCATAACTGAAATATAGAAAAAAAATCTTTAAAGTATAATTAATTCTAAATATTTAGAACGCCATATCTTTGCACCACATAGTCCTATATAATAATAATAACAATAATAATGCTTTATTTATTCTGGGACGAGTCCCTTTAGAATAATAAAGAAAGACAAAAATGTGGGCTAAGGAGCCTCAGAGCCCCACCTCTGAGATACATACATACTTCAGAGATACATAAACAAAAATATAGAGTAAGTGAATAGTCAAAATAATAAAATAAATTATAAGTTACTTTCTACTTTAATCAGTTAATAATAATAAAAAAAATGAAAATAAACATGAAATAAAAATAGTGAAGAACGATCTGATAATTTATGTACATATTTACGGTAGCAACTATTTACAATTTCATAAGGACTGGATGGGTAAAAAACGATTGAACAGGCGGGTTTTAAAGGTAGGAAGGGTTTTGGATTGACGGATGTCGGGAGGGATGGAGTTCCATATGGATTGAGGATCGGATAATAAAAGATCTGTCGAAAGCAGCAGTTCGGTGGGCCCTTATGTATAAATCAGAAGACCGGGAACGAACAGAAGATTTGAATTGAAGGAGCTCGAAGATTTATGAAGGACGGTGGGATTTGATGACTTGAAAGAGGAAGGATGCCCGGAAATACTTACGACGGTAGGAAGGATAAAGCCACTTCAACTCTGCATAAGAAGGGGTAACAGAGGCGTCCTTTGGGATCCCGAAGATGAATCGTACAAAGCAATTCATCAAACGTTTTAATTTTGCCGAGATCCCCAGAGACGCCTCCACATACCGTACAGCAATAGTCAAAGTGGAGAAAAAAGTGGGGAAGTTACTAGGAGGCTACGGGTTTCAAGGGGAAATAGGTGGCGGGAGTAATTTAGACATTTTAAGTTGGAAATGGTACGGCGGGTGATGTTGGATATATGATTTTTCCAGGGAAGCGTTTGATCAAAGATCATTCCAAGGTTTTTGATGGAAGGATAGAACTTGATGGGATTATCATGTAGAAACAGAGTTGGAATATTAGGAACAGTTTTAAGGAGATGATTGGAGCCTATTAAGATTGCCTTCGTCTTTTCTGCATTCAAATTCAACTTAGATCGATAATTTTTGTTTTCATTTTTTAGTTAGTATTCAAATACTCATGTATAATGGGCCAAAAATTGGCCTTTCCGAGTTATCCCCATATTATGTATTCATTTGTAACGTCTCGATTCATTGAGACGGCACCATCCTATGGTTTGAAACTTCCCACTTATATTTCAGAAATAATATATAAAAAGATATATATATATATATATATATACATAAACATATAAATAAGGTCTATTCCTAATATAAATATACGTAGAAATTGCTGTAAACAAGACATAGATACGTCCATGCTTATATTGTCCATGCTTATACTTTTCTATGATTGTATAGACTGTCCCCTCTGATTTTTTGTAACTGTATTAGTATTAGTTGTTTCTGAATGTAAGAAGCACAGCCTGACGAGACACCGGAGTAGAAAACTTGTCTGAAGTAGAAAACTAGAACCGCTCTCAATTGAGGAAGTGGAATCAATTGACAAATTAAAAAATGACAAAGCCCCTGTAGAAGACCTTCTGATTGCGGAATTCTTTAAAAATGATGGAGAGGAGCTAAATAATCAATTATACTTGCTAATTGAGGATATATGGGACAAAGACTGCATGCCAGCAGAGTGGAAAACAAGTTTAATCTACCCTGTACATAAAAAGGGAGACAGGCTGCTCTGCGAAAATTACAGAGGGATATCGCTCATAGGAGTAGCGTACAAAATATTCTCCAACATATTGGTTCAAAGATTAAATGAGTTTGCCGAGAATGTTCTACAGGAATACCAATGGGGTAGGGGAACGACGGATCAGTTCTTTGTAATGAGACAATTAAGGAAAAAATGCTTGGAGTATAAAACTGACCTTCACATGCTGTTTATAGACTACCGCCGTGCTTATGATAGTGTGAACAGAAATAACATTCTACGTGCTCTAGGAGATTCCAACATTCCAAATTAACTAATTCGCTTGATACAAATAGCCATTAATGGCAGTAATGCTAAAGTGTGTATTAATGGGACATTTAGTCACGGTTTTGCAGTCACTGCTGGAGTTAGGCAAGGAGATGCACTATCTGCTACACTATTTAACCTTGCTCTACACTACGTTCATCCACTCAAATATGTGCATACGCTAATGATAAGCAATCTCGCAAGGAATAAGCAATCTCTTATCGATTTGTTGAAGCTGTTGAAGGCAGAAGGTGAAGTGCTTGGTTTAGAAGTCAATGAAAGCAAAACCAAGTACATGTTTGTAAGTTCAGGCAGTGATTAAAAAGCTATAGAAGATCTATACGTTGAAGGTTTTTCTTTTGAAAATGTTAAATCCTTCTCTTATCTTATCTTCTTATTCTTATCTTCTTGGTGTAGAGCTTAATTGCACGAATTGAATATCAGCAGAAGTAATTAGATGGATTATGGCAGGTAACTGGGCTTATTACGCAAACATAAATCTCTTCCGCTCATCGCTGTTGTCACGAACGACAAAAATAAGATTTTATATGACATTGGTAAGACCATTAGTGACATATTCTGCAGAAACTTGGACCCTTTGCACAACAACAATAAATGAATTTGAGGTTTTCGAGAGGAAAATTCTCCGTAAAATTTATGGACCTGTATTGAAAGAGGGTGAATGGAGAATCCGGAAGAACAGCGAACTATATGCGCTATATGGTTCTTGTGACATTATCCGCTTCATACGAGCAAGGAGAATCGAATGGTTTGGTCAAGTAACACAGATGAATGAAGTGAGAAGGCAAAAAATAATTCTGCTTGGAAAGATGTATGGAACCAGAAGAAGAGGGCGACCTTGGAGATGCTGGATTCAGGATGTAGGAAGGGACCTGGAGAGTCTTGGTATAAGAAACTGGAGGAGTAGTGCGTTGTGCAGGGAGGACTGGTGCAATATTGTCAGGGAAGCCAAGGCCCACCCCGGGCTGTAGAGCTACGTAGGAAGTAAGTAAGTATTACTTGCTAATAATCATAAATTTTCTAACTATTAAAAACAACTATTGTATATATGTTTCCTTGAATATTTTATTTATCAAATAATTTGCATTCCACTAACAAACGAATTATATAATAATGATATATTAAACAAATGTTATACATACAAAAACGATGCATGATAGGTAGGTAATTTTACGTTAATTTTAACCCAAAATATAAAAAAATATGTTATATAATAAACAAATTCTTAAATATAATAAAAATATAGAATTAGGACTATATATATAACAGACTGTTAATAATGAAATTAACACCGTGCCAGATTATTATGGTAACGTACTAGACACTCCACCGATCGTCAATCCTATAATTATTTCTGCAAAAAATTAAAGCAGGAATTGGTCACCTTCAGATCCCAATCCTTCAACTCCTACCTGACTTCCCTCCCTGCTCATGACAATTCGCTATGGAAGATCACTAAAAAAATTCTAACACCCCATCTTCTCCGTCGAGGTGATGGCTCTTGGGCAGCGTCTGATAAAGATGAAGCCGAGGAATTCACCCTACACCTTTCCCTTACATTCACCTCTCATCCGGAATCCAATATCACCCACACGTCAGCAGTCGAGGAATTCCTTAATTCACCCATCCCACTCTCCTTACCACCTGAAGCAGTTAATCCTTCTGAGATCAAATATCACTTGCAAAAACTACCTGCCCGCAAATCACCTGGGCATGAAAATTATCTCTCAGATCCTTAGACAACTCTCTCCTAAAGCTGCCATATTCCTTACATATATATTATAGCATCCTACGAACCACCCACTTTCCTCTTTTTATGGAAACATTCTACTATTATCCTATTTCCAAATCCAGACAAACCTTCCAACAGCTTAACTTTCTACAGACCCATTAGCCTACTTCCAACCCTTTCAAAAATTCTTGAAAAGATCCTCTTGAAACGAATCCTACCCTGTATAAAATCTCAAAATCTAACTTCAAATCAGTTCGGATTCCGTTCCCAACACTCCACAGACCAACAAGGACTTCGAGTGGTCGATCATATTTCCGTAGCCCTGGAAAGAAGCAGTATTGCTCGGGTGCATTTCTGAACATAGATCAAGCTTTTGATCGGGTATGGCTCTCCGGGCTTCTTTCCAAGCTGAAAACCATCTACCCCAATCCTTTTACCTAATCCTCCGCTCCTACCTCTCTGATTGCACCTTTTGAGTTCGCTGTGGTACAGAAGTTTCCTGGAAACGTCATTTCAAATCTGCAGCATCATCTATAGAACAAGACTTGTTTTTCATCGCAAACTATGGCTCGCTGGGATTAACAGGAGGTATCTGTGTAGTTCACGTACCAAAAAGTTTTGAGACCTCTGCTCCAACCAAAGTTTTGTCAGATGTTGCTATACCTAAGGAATTATACTATTAAAGCCTGAAATCGTGCACCACCTTGGAAATGATTTATTTTATTTTTTTCATTAACCTCAAGACCACTTAGTTACATTTAACTATACATATTTTCAGCAATAAATGTGCACCTCTTCATTATGCAGTAGATTATTCACATCTCGAGTTGGTTAAACTGTGCTTGACAATGGGCTCAGATATAAATATGAAAGATGCAGCTGGCTGGACTCCTCTTACAAGAGCAAGTACGAAATGAACTACAAGTTTATTTAACTTTTTTTACTTTTATTATCTGCTTTTATTACTTGTTTTTTATTATCTGTACAGATAATGGTAGTTTGGGTAGGTATAATGTATATATTATATATACATTATCTGTAATCACTTTATTATGAATTCTTGAGTTAATATCATAACATTTGATGTTACACAATCTAACTTAGAACTGCAAACATAATGTTTGTAATTATCTTCATCTGACCACATGATTTCTTCATTGTAGCTCTTGAATGATTTATGTATAGTGTGTTCTATATTGATGGAAAATATATCTATGTTGAATCTTGATCAAGCCTCGCAAGCCTATAGTAGTCGGCGCCTGTGTATACATTTATTATATACTTGTAAAAGTATTGGAAGTATTAATTTGTTGTGTAACCAAGAGATATTATACAAGCTGTTTTTGTTGTTCATAGATATATTTTCTTGATGCTGGTACATTTATCATAGATGCATCTTTCTATTGCTTTATATAAAATTGATGCAATTATCATTATTTAGTATGTTATAATTTGTCTTCGGTCTCAGGACCGGGGTGGGCAGACGCTTAGCGATCCAGTAGCTCTATTTTTAAAAGTAGGTTAAATTTTTGAAATAATTGTTTTTAAAAACATATGAAAGCATAATTGTGTACCAATTGAGCTATTTGTTGTTCTAGCTTTGAAGAGGATCCCATTGTTAACTTATAAAAAGAAAAATACCGGGATCGAAACGTCCATAAACATAGATGAAATGAACATTCAGTAGTTTATTAAACAATTAATAAGTGACCTTATTCCCAATTAAATGGTTATGTTTAAATTTAATACTCAAAGGTCGTACTAGTCGGAAGGTATACCTATAATATATCGTTGGAAAGCTATTGTTGTTTAAAATATAAGCCATTGTTTAAAATACTATTTCGTTGTACTTGTGTGAATGAAGAAGTGAAATATTAATGTTAACTCCAGATAAGATATTATATTTAGGTATCTATCGGCCGTTTATTCCAAAAACTAATCAAGTAACCTTTTATAAAATTAAATTAGTGAATAATTTGATGAATTTTCCCTTTGTGAAATCCTAACATTATCCAATTACAATCAGTGTGACAACTTTTGACCTATCCATAGCAGAAAATGAAAATTTCGTTTTAGTAATCTTTACAATTGAAAATAACAGCTTAATAACTAATAGTCCTACAATCCATAATCAATTATAGGTTAAATATTCAGAAATACTTTCACACCTCTGTAGCCATATATGAGCCTTTCGGTTGACAAAATTACTAACTTCAATTTCGGCATACTTTTATTATTAATTTTTTATAAATTTGATGTTTCTAGTGGCGAAATTTATACCTTTATTCACAGTTCTATATTTCAACACTGCAATCAGCTACTCCGGAATCAACTTACTTACGTCTGTATTGATAACTTTTTCAACTAGAAATATCACTAAAATGACATTACTAAAAAATGTTGAAATTGGAGTTAGTTGATAGAATGCAAATATCAAAGATTTAGAAACCGAAGTTGTTTGGTTTATAAAAGCAAATGGAGTGACTAGATTTTTATTACCTACCGTCGATATAATTAATAGACTTTTTGTAATTAGAAGGATCTTAATGATTTGTTATCTGCAAGCTTTAAGCATTAGCTGCGTTTAAAATGCACTTCAAAAATCTTATAATAGCCCAGCATTGTCAGAAAATAATTTCTATTCAAAGTAGAGCGGTAAGTGAAAGTATTGTGTTGCGCGCACCAGATTTTTTTCACTTCTGTTAGTTAAGCTTAATTTTACGTTTTTACGTAAAATCTTGAGCTTAACAACCATAAAACTAAAATTTTATGCTTTTCCGTGTGGAATTGAACCATGGTCTACATGAACATTTTTGTATCTCTACTATCACCTATTTAAATATTAGCCATTATTTAGAGGACACAATTTATATTTTTTATGATAGTTAAATAATATATCTTTTCTTTTAAATAATAATAATTATTATTATTATTTTGTTGCAGTTGTATTAAAATCTAATATTGAAGTAATTGAAGAACTTTTAAACAACAACGCAGATATTTTTGCCAAAGATAAAAATGGGAAAACTGCTTTAAGTTTGGCAAAACTGGAGGGAAACGAATGCATTGTTGATATTATTTTCAAATATGAGATGAAAATAAAGGAACAAACACAAATAATAGAAAACCATGCACAGAGAAATAATTTTCTGCGAAATTGTGAAGATGTTGAAAAAAGCACTATTTCGACTAAAAATGAAGAGAAACAACAAAACGAGGAATGTCATAAAAAATAAGCTGTTATAAAACATCACCTGACTAATGAGAAATATAATAATCTATGTAGAAATTAGCGAATATTTTGAATGAAATCTTTATCAATGTAACTAGAAATATTTGATCATAAAATTAATATTTAAAATGGTTGAATATATATTAATTAATTCAATCCAGAAGTAATATGATTCTTTATTTCCATATTATATATTTTCCAACTATTCGTAATTGTATTTACATATGATCAGACATCAATAAATAGGTATTTCCTCCATCGTCAGGGTTCCATTCTTCAATTTTTGAGCATTATTTATTATTTATCCCAGATCTAATTAAGACAGAAAATGTATTTTATTTATCATGCTTAAGTATTTTTATATTGATTTTAGCTCTGGAATAATAAAAAACAATTCCAAATAATAATTAAATAATGGAAGCCTGACGTATGACAGATTAAAAGCAGGCATACGTTAGTTAAGAAAGAATTGATATCTATGAAAACTTTAGGATCATAGGTTGCTCTACAAAACGAATTAGGCTGGTAAGGATGACCCTACAAAACAGTAGAGGTTTAGTGCAGTTCCAGAAAGTGGTTTCCAGAGACTTTATGATTCAAAAAGGAGTCCAAGAGGAGGAGCTCTTATCACCATTGATATTTAACATGGTGCTTGAGAGGGTTTTGAGGAAAGCTAAAATAAAGGAAGAAGGGTGTTTGTGTAACAATATGGCTCAATGCCTACCATATGCCAACGATTTCGTCATAACAGGAAAGAATCATGATTCACTCTTAAATGCAGCTACAGAATGTTGGCGGAAGAGACAGCCAGGAATACAGGGCTTAAAATAAACGAAAGCAAAACGAAATATATGATAATATCTAGAAAAAGCGCAATGGAATCACGTGGAAATCTATTGCGAAATGATGTAGTTTTGAAAGTATGGATAAAATAAAGTATTGCTATGTTTTAACTCCAAAAAAGCGATGACTTTAAAGTTGCTATGTTTTAGGAGTTGAAATTACTTGGGATGCCACTGGATAATTATTAAGGATAATTACCCAGGAATGTTTAAAAAAAATTAGTAAAAGAAATTTGAATCTATAATACATTTCTTGTCTCAAAGGCTGGTTTGTGTTTATCATGTTTTCTAATAACCAACATTAGCTGTGATCATCATGATAAGTATGGCAGAATTACATTAAAATTGACAAAAAAACTTATTACTTTATTCATTTGAGATATGTTCAATAAAGAATAATATAAAAATTGTGTGAGAATCTTGATGTAGTAGTCTTTAATATCAATCACATCCCCATTGATGTCACTTTACAGGTCTTAAATGCCCAATCTTCATATATGTCTTCCTCTAAAATACCTTTAATATGGTTTATTTTAAATAATTAACTATCTCTCATTATTAAAAGTTACAAAAGAATGCTAAATATAACTGTTGAAAGAATTTGATAATTGAATGAAGGAGAAAAAAAATAAAAATGTTTATCCAGGTCGAAAATGAATCCCCGGAAATACTAGGCAGAAGGTATACGTGTAATGTATCTTTGGAAAGCGGAGAATATTAGAAAAAAAAAAAACAGTATCTAATATAGAAAGTTGTAAGAACAGCGGCAAAAAATTATAAATAATAATTTTTGAAAAATGATAATATTACTTTATAACGTACACCACATAGTTTAAAGGAAATTAAATAAAATTTACTAACTAAATGTAAACTTTAAAAAATATTTTCAAGTTTGAAAACATATTTAAAATCCAACTAATCAACGCAATGACATTGTTTAAAAACTATTTCATTGTACATGTGTGAAATAAGAAGCAAAATATATAATCATTTCATGGATGTATAAAGCATATGTCTTTTTTTTTTTTTTTGTTCTTCCCTACCTCGCCAGGAGGAGAGGGCGGGGAATTTAAAATCCCCTCCGGCACCGGGACGCGAACTCGTACTTTTTATATCATCTCAAATCTCTGTTATCCGGTTGCCAGGCAACTAGCGGTGCTGTCACACACGCTTTAGCCTATTCGGCCACCCCGCCCCCTTAAAGCGTATGTCTATAACCTTAAATACATTTACTGTAGTTTAATAATTGTAGATCGATATTGTATTTAAATAATTAGTTATCAAGGCCCGTTTATTCAAAAATATTGTCATGTAACTTTTTAGAAAATTAAATTAGTGAATAATTTGATGAATCTTCCGTTTGTGATATTCCAACAGTACCCACTAATATTTTGTTGTACTTGTGTGAAAAAATAAGTGAAATATAAAAATATTTCACAGATACGTTTCTAACTTTAAATATATTCACTGTAGTTTAACCTCTAGATTTGATATTATATTTAAATATTTAGATATCTATCGTCCGTTTATCCAAAAAAAAATCATCATGTTACCTTTTAGAAAATTAAATTAGTGAATATTTTGATAAATTTTCTCTTTGCGATATTCCAATAGAATCCACTTACAATCATTGTGACAACTTTTGACCTGTCTATGATAGGCAATCCAAATCTCTTAATTCCGTTTTAGTAAACTTTGCAATGGAAAATAACAGTTTAATAATTAATAATTGTACAATCCATAATCAACCGGTGATATAAGAAATAAAACTTTTATTTTAATGGTGTTTATGATTTTTTAGCTTTAGCTCAGTTAAAAATGCAATTCAAAAATTATATAATAGTCCAACATGACCAGAAAATAATTTCTATTGAATGTTGAGCGGTGAGTGAAAGTTGTGTGTTGCGCGCACCAAATATTTCGCTTTATATCCTGCCTTTTGTTTGCTAATGTTTGTGTAGAGGTCGCGCATATCTCCAGCCTGTCGTTTGTCCTCAACTGCAACCTGTGGTTTGTAACCTTTGTTCGAGGAATTCCCTTTGTGCCGGTTTTATTTTATTTTTTTCTCTCTTTTTCTTGGCGGCTGAGAACTTGTACATAGTAACTTGACCAGTCAGAGGACTTTCATTTTTCATCTTTCCTCAGTACCTTTTCGCATGCTTCTATGAACCATATATTAGCCATTCGTTTCTCCTAAATACCCATCACTTAGCTGTTTCTTTTAGCCCTTTCTCTATTTCCTCCCAGTGATGGTCGACCGTGAAGCTCCCTCAGCCCTAATTGTGGTTCGAATTTATTTTTCATCTCAAGTTGGAATTAGGATTTACTTCAGATACATTTGGTGTGAATGCACTCTTTTTTCTTTATTACTAATGTCTTTAGTTGTGAAAAAATGTTCCTTTGACATTATTCAATAAAGAAATGGATATTCTAAATAAAAATTTCATATTTAAATTAAATAAATTATTTTTATTAATTAAACTCCAAGTTCATATGTAAAATTAATATGTGTGCACAAACAAGACCAAAGCCAGAGTTCTAAAGCTGATTAATTTAAATAAAATTAAAACATTTTGATTTTAAGACTTTAATATTATCAGATCTTGCCAGAATAGTCTATAAGACAAATCAACAACAATTAATTTAAAACTGTCAAGCATCGGATCATGAACCTTCAATTATACACAGAAAACTTTTTGGTTTGATCCAAGAAGACAAAGATTACAAAATCAATACCAGATTTATCTTCTCTCTCTCTCTCTCTCTCTCTCTCTCTCTCTCTCTCTCTCTCTCTCTCTCCTTTTAATATGAAAAATAAGTTTACATTTTTTAAATAAAATTTTAACAAGCCAATTTATAGCCGACTCCCTGACTACACCTTTGAAGATATGCTTGTTTTTACTGATTCCTGTTCTTTATATATGCGGTATTGTAATGCTTTACAAAGAGAACGATAAGCGTTGTGAGATGGATCATCCATATTATCGTGAAAAAGAGTGGAACATTGCAGTAGAGAAGTAGTCTCACCACCATTATCAGCGACATCGTCACTTCAACCTGAAATATAATAAATACTTTGTATAAGAGACATGCAAGAAATATTTAAATCTGTATATACTGTATGCTAGAATGTTTGCGAAGTTATTGATGATTTCGAAGATAGAAGAATTCCAAAATAAAAACATCGTATCTGACATAATTGAAATAAATGCAAATAAAATGAAAGGATAATAATTTGAGAGTCTAATAATATGTCAGTCTAATAATAGCAAGGTTCTGAAGAATCTTATTTTGATCAGATTACAATCGATTCTAACAAAAGTAAGCCATCCATAGCACTAAGGGACATATTTTCTTTACCAAGGGTAAGCAAACCCTGCCCCGAAACTGCCCTGAACACAAGATGTAAGTGTTTGTCATGGTCCTGCTCTTTATGTAACATATCTTCCATCTTCGACGCCATCTCTTGTGCTCTTTATAGCAGCTCAAGAATCTTAATGACTTCTACGCCCTCCTTAGAAGCTACTTCCAGAATAGATTTGTAAACATTCACGATTGTTCCTTCGAAAACGAATCTCTCACAGAGACGGGATACCCTCATGGATTTTTCTTTGGTTCTGCCCCATGAAAGCTAATATTTGATGAATTCCTTAGGCTTTCTCAAAGAGGAGTGTCGATATTCCTATACATACAGATATGGAGTTGATATTCCTTGTTTCGACTTGTGTCGATGGAGCCTGTAGGTGATGCCATTAAAACAGTGCCACCATTAAAAAATAATCAGAATGGCGGGCCATCTAGGTAAAACGATGTGAAATGAAACACTTGAAGATGGTCACTACAAAGACTGATACCACCTGCCTGAGGGAACAGACGGATAAGTCAATCCCTATAAATTTGATCATAGTACAAAAATATCTCTAAGAAAGGTGGTCTAATTTGGTGCAAGTTTAGCTTTTTGATACAACATAACCTTCCACTGGGATTACATAGGAAATAATGTGGTACAACTTATGCACTTAAACTGAGAGGCTTGGTCAGTCTACTAAATAATATACGATGTGGATCATATATAGGAATAGTGTGGATCCCCGCGAAACCGAAGAATGGATCAATGGACTGAGGACAAAAATGCTGAAGGATATCGTAAGACCTCTCAGAGACCGATATTTCTTAGCTGGTGATTGAAGTGAACTATCCATTCTAGAGACGTTATGTATAGGTTGTAAAACTACAGTTGGCCTTGCATTTTTGGTATAGGAAGATCTTTTTCTCTATAAAGGGGAGGAAAAGAAGACCGAGGCCGGTCTGAAAATGAGGACCTGATTTCAAACCTGTTTGAATGTAAACCAAGACTAAAGAAGATAAATGATATGCAAGTTTTTCATTGTCAACACATCCCTACCTAAATGGCATGCGCAAAATAACTAAAAATAAAAGTAAATAAATAAAATGTAACATGCCCAACTTTTTTATGGTTTCTGATTCTAAAGAAACAAATTCATTCTTCCAACATTTGTTCCCCAAGTAAACGAAAGTTGAAATTGGGCAATGTTTCTGACTGGAGTACTAATAATAATTGCGATTACTACTAAAGCCATCGACCTCCAAATTAAAACTTTTATTTATTTTAAGCCAAGGCGTCTGGCTCATTTTATATTTGATGATAAATGTGTGATATTATTGGTGTTTAGCGAGTATTTCTAAACTGAAACATGTGTGTCAATTCTGCTTTCTTCGCTACAGTGTTTTTAAAATTTCTCATTTTTGGTCGCCCATTATTATTTACATCAATCTTCTTGACAAGGCCAATCAAAGATTAAGTCCAAAAGATACGATATAATTATCAGTGATCTTCCGGATTGGTTTTCTTTTGATTGTAATATTATATGCTGTTTATTACTAACTAAATGCTTCTATGACTATCGCCTTCATCTTAACTACTGTTTGACACAAATTTATACTTACTGTCAAAGTCACAGTAACGAACTTCTTCATAAAAATGAGTTTTTGATAAGTCAGATTGATGCCTGTTAGCAGGAAATGAAGTTGCATAACGCTGTTTCCAATTGTATTTATAGCTAGAATTTTCATAAGTATCTCCTCTGAAACAAGATATAATAAGTCCTTTAAGAAATTATCGATTATGTTTTATCTCGCATTTTACATTAATTAATTCTAATTTAATTAAATATATTATTTACTAGTTTTCAGTTTTGACTTCGTTTCATTAATTATCTTCATACTTCTTTTTGCCTATAAGTCGAATTCAATCAAATAACCACTGCCAGTTTTTTTATTTAACTTTATTAATTTTTACGTTTCGAGAAATTCTTTTCCCCCTCTTCAGCATATAATATACTCCAGATTGGGATAAACTGCATTTCTAACCATCGACTAAGGTTATTGATAGGACTTAAACAATTCTATGGCATATTATATGCTGTAGAGAAGGACAAAGATTTCCCGAAACGTATTAAATTAATAACGCATAATAAAAAAACTGATAGTGATTATTTTATTGAATTCGACTTATTGACAAAAAGTACTTAAAAAACGTTATAAAAACTTTGTTCCAGAATTTGATCACTCATCCAACTTCGAATAATTTTATTTAAAATAAATATACATATTATATGTTATATTGATATCGATATGGATGGTAATATGTTTCAACAGGTAGATAAATTTAAGTATCTAGGCTCTACGGTAACTAGAAAAAAACGAAATTGAAGAAGAGATTAAGGTTAGACTGAAGGCGGGAAATGCTAGTTATTTATCTGTGACAAAACTACTTAGTTCGCGCCTCTTGCCCCGGAACTTAAAAATTAGAATCTATAAAACAATTATCTTGCCTACAGTTCTTTATGGATGAGAAACTTGGCCGCTTACATCAAGGGATGAGCAGCGTCTTAAGGTTTTTGAAAATAAAGTATTGCGTAGAATATTCGGACCGAAGAAGAATGAGTTAACCGGGGAGTTCAGACGGTTACACAACGCCGAATTGCGTGAACTGTATCCGGGTAATATAATTGAGGTAATTTCATCGCGGTGAATCAAATGGGCTTGTAAGGTTGTTGGATTTAGTAACAAGAGAATTCCTAAAAGGTTAATATTTGCTGTGCCGAATGGCAAGCGTCCGAGGGGTAGACCGAAGCGAAGGTGGGAAGATTGCATTAAAGCAGATCTGAAGGAACTGCGTTTGGACAGCGAACGGTGGAGGGAGGTGTGTAATAAGCGATTGGTGGTGTCGGCATCGAACCTTCGAGTTCGCTAAGCCTTTTATTATTATTATTATGTTATATTACATAGTATATTATAGAAATACTAAAATAAATATACGAAAGTACAATTTACAACCAAATAATTAAGATAGAATATCAAAAACATAAGAAAATGCTATATTTTAACAATGAACAAAAAAATAGTTTGAAACTTTGCTGAAAATAAAAGAAGCAAGAAATAGTTGGATATTTGATAAAATTCTAAATTCATAAGATACCAGATCCTGCCATGAGTGAAATTTAATCAGCTAATTCAAAATTTAATCAGCTAAATTTACTACGTAAAAGATAATTATGCCTGCAATTCACCATTATCATAATACAATCCTTTTCAACTGCTGCGCATTAGTGTTTAAACAATGTGTCCCTCTCCTGTCCCAATCCAGTCCTCTCTAGATTCCTGAATAATTACCACACTTCTCTCCCAGGTGATCCATGATCTTCTACTTGATCTTCTTCTCCATTCGTGTTTCAGGTTTCTTATCTCCATCTGCCCTTTGTGTGTAGAGCTAAGAGTCCATGACTTAAAGGAATAAGAAAGGATGATGAAGAGCGTTGACCTTTTTATTTATTTTTTTTATTTATTCCAAATAGATTGATCGGTATGCTGTTTGTAAAGCAACCCTATGTAGTAGGGCAGCACTACTTTCAATAAAGTCTCAGTCTCTCTCTCTCTCCCTCTCCCTCTCCCTCTCTCTCATCCTCTCCCTCTCCCTCTCCAGGTCCCTCTCCCTCTCCCTCTCCCTCTCCCTCCCTCCCTCCTTGCAGTGGTGGAAGTTAATGATTTAATGATGAGTGTTGGACGAGATAGGAGTGGATTGAGGAGCAATATGGTTTGGCAAAGTAACATTTATTTGTTCAGAGACAGATGATTGCTGGTTGTTCGTTTTAGTACGAGTAGGAGCTTCTGGAAATGGGACTGTCTTGTTTAAAAAAGTTTATGACAGCAGAAGTTCGATTTCTATTAGTTGTTACTTTTAATTTTCGAGCTTGTCATTCTGTAAGTCTAATTGTGATTTGCTAATGGAGTGATGAACTTTTTAATACGAAGCAGTCAGCTCCTTTCTTAATAAACTAACAACAAAACAAAGCTTACTTTTCGAAATGGTTCTTCTTGTATTCAGTATTTCTAGCTATCAATATTTTCTTCTAGAAGTCGATCAATACCGAGTAAATTTCAGTTTAAATACCGAATCAATTTTTATAGTTATTTACCTGTATTTTAAATATATATATATATATATATATATATAATATATATATATATATATATATATATATATTTATATTTATTATTTACGTTCCTACTTCTACCATTTGTCTTAATCATCAAACCTTATTCCAAAGTAATTGAAATTCCTCATGAACCTATTATATACTCTCTTTGCTTATCAATTACGTGGCTACCAGAAACACTTTCGAATTATCGAAACTTTATTTATTTATTCAATTTATTACTCAGTCATGTGGCCGTTGACATGTACCGGGCCTATTTAAGTACTTTATAATATATATATTTCCGATTTTGGTATCTAGATTGTATTTTATTGTAAATATGATTCCCATATGCTGAAACGTTTTATAATCAATAAATGGAATACTATATGCATATATTTAAATTATATAATATTGCGTGTAACATGCAAAATTTTAAGATTTGTTGATATTTGAAAATGTTTAAAATAAATACCTCTAGAATCAAGACGGTCCATCAATATCGCTAACGTCAGTGTGGAGATATGATGATAAACGTGTAGAGTGGTGACTTTCTCCCTCTTTTTCATTAATACGTAAAACACCTAAATATGAAAACATAAAATAATTATCGACTAAGAGAAAATATTATTAGTGTTTAAAATTATATTTTATTATAAAACTACACATTTATGAGTGGACTTGATGGCAAATAGTAATTGTCAATGATAGTTGAAATTATTATCTTCACTCAGGTAAAACAATTTTCAGTGAAATTAGTTAATAAAATCTTTAGGTTCAGTTTCTACAAACAATTATTCATTACTGGCGATCTGCAATGGTCTGGACCTTCCTCGTGTCACAAGTGCTAGAGATAGGATTAGTAATTTAATTTAAAAATCTGGTGTTCGCATCACACGACTTTCAGTTACTCTCCTTAGCAGAAATAAGTATTTTCAAACAAAGGGAAAGTGACAGTAAAAATTATAGACGCTATATTTATTCACATTTCATTGTGGGTATTTTTATTTTTTAAATACCCTTATGTACACAAATTTTAATTTTTATATCACTGTATTGTATGCAATTAAATAATACAAGCGATAAAATTTATGAAAACCGCATATGCATATGTATGAGGGACGGTGGGATTGGATGACTTGAAAGAGGAAGGATGCCAGGAAATACTTACGACGGTAGGAAGGATAAAGCCACTTTAACTCCGCGTAAAGATGGGAAACAGAGGCGTCCCTTGGGATCCCGAAGATGAATCGTACAAAGCAATTTATCAAACGTTTTAGTTTCGCTTCGAGATCCCCAGAGAGGCCCCCATATACCGTACAGCAATAGTCAAAGTGGGGAAAAATTAAGGAAGTGACTAGGAGCCTACGGGTTTCAAAAGGAAATAGGTGACGGGAGTAGTTAAGACGTTTTAGGATGGAAATGGTACGGCGGGAAATATTGGATATATGATTTTTCCAAGAAAGCGTTCGATCAATGGTTATTCCATGATTTTTGATGGTGGGGTGAAATTTGATGGGGTTATTATGTAGGAACAGAGTTGGAATAGTAGGGACAGTTTTAAGGTGATTGGAGCCTATTAAGATTGCCTTTGTCTTATCCGCATTCAACTTCAGCTTGTTTGTTGTTGCCCAGTCACAAATTCCATCTAAGTCTTCTTGAAGTTTTTCTGTGGCAGATAAAAGGTCGGAGGGCGGAAAGGAAAGGTATATTTGGAAATCATCTGCATAGATGTGGTATCGGGAGTGACGGATCTGGAGGGGAAGATCATTGATGTTAATAGCAAACAGAGTAGGAGAGAGAGAGGAACCCTGAGGGACACCACAGGAGAGGGGAAGTGTGTTTGAAGGAGGTTGATGAGGGACTACTACATACTGGGATCGATTGGAAAGGAAGGATTTGAACCAATGCAGGACACTGTTGAATAGAGGAATATTTCGCAATTTGGTAAGAAGGATGTTATGGTCAACTGTATCAAACGCTTTGGAAAAATCTAGAAGGATGAGGATAGTAAGATTTTGGTGTTCAATGGAGTTTTGTAGGTCATGGGTTATTTTAAGGAGAGCAGATTGCGTTGAATAGCCGGGTCGGAAGCCAGATTGGCATGAATTGATAAAGGAACGTTCCTCTAGGAAGTTTAAGAGCTGATTTTGGGCAAGGCGTTCTAGCGGCTTTGAGAGGTTGGATAGGAGAGAAATAGGACGGAAGTCGTGCAGTGAGGTAGGATTGGCAATTTTATTCAAAGGTCGGACTAGGGTGGTTTTCCAGGAGGATGGGAATATGGAGTTCTGCAGTGAAAAATTGTAGATATGATAAAGAACAGGAATAAGGTCAGGAAGGGTGGATTTTATTAGTTTTACAGGAATATTGTCGGGACCATAATCATTGGTGTGGGATTTTAGGATGGTGGAAAGTAATTCATCATAGGACACGTGGGAGAAAAAGAAGTCTTCAGGATTGAATTTGTGATGTTTAATGTCGGAAGTATGAGAGGAAGAGTGAGTAAAGGATAAGAAATGGTTATTGAGATCATCTGGAGAAAGATCGAAGGAACTACGATTAATGGACTCTGGTAGGGATAGGTTGCGGAGTATTTTCCATTTAGATTTGGGGTCGGGAGCATTGGACAGGGCATTATGGAAGTAGGTGGTTTTAGCAAGACGGACTGCGGATTGGGTCCCATTGCGAAGCGCCTTGAAAGACACATAATCCACAGCTAGACGGGTTCGACGGTATTTGCGCCTTGCTGCATCTCTTCCCCTCATCATTTCCTTTATCTCACGGTTCAGCCACGGCGCAGTGGGACGGCGTAAGGTTTTGGTTTTCAGAGGAGCGTTAATATTGTCGGAGTCCGTATTATATTCGCATCACACGACTTTCAGTTACTCTCCTTAGCAGAAATAAGTATTTTCAAACAAAGGGAAAGTGACAGTAAAAATTATAGACGCTATATTTATTCACATTTCATTGTGGGTATTTTTATTTTTTAAATACCCTTATGTACACAAATTTTAATTTTTATATCACTGTATTGTATGCAATTAAATAATACAAGCGATAAAATTTATGAAAACCGCATATGCATATGTACGTAATATTGTCGGAGTCCGTATTATATTCGCATCACACGACTTTCGCTTACTCTCCTTAGCAGAAAGAAGTATTTTCAAACAAGGTCGGTACAGCTTCCTCACCGTTTTCATTGGCTAAAATGTATCTATATTACAAGGTATATAATTTTTCGTTTGAAAATAAAATCCCTGTCAGAAGCCGATTCGGAAATACAGTTACCCTTCAACATTCGCTGGTTTGATATCCACGAATTTCGTTTATCAGCTAATAAATAACATGTACTTTATTAGTATGATTTCATATTTTATTGTCCTCTGCTACTTTCCATTGTAAGAGACGACTTATATCAGTTGCAGACTACAAAATGTCACCATTAGCACAAATACAATAAAAGTTGGAAATTTTTACATACGACCTTTTGCACTAATAGTAGTAATATATACTAAATAGGTATGTTTTCACTCGTAAAATGGATAGACCAAAAATCCATTAGTAAAATTCAACTTCTTGGTTGTTCGGCGTTAACGAGACCAATACTTTTCTTCAGTTAGACCAAAACTATTTATTCTGGAATATAAAAATATGAGTGAAGTTCACACAACTTCGATATTTAAAGAGGAAATCGAGACCAAGACGAACTGGTTGAACTTCAATTGAAATAAACACCATCATAAATAAGACTTTTTTTTTTACAAATTCAGAGTAAAAATTACTTTAAATTTACTGAAAATTACACGAAATCTAAGTAATAGCAATAAGTGTCATACCAGTAACGTTTGGAATCGACCAAACAATACGATATAAATTAATGTTTTGAACAAAATCTAAAATTTTATAACCCTATAACAATATTGTAATAACCTAACTCTCACTCCATATGATCAGTGCCTTCAACATTTCACAGCCATTATATTGTTTACAATTATTTATATTAATTTTAATTATTAAAAACAATTCCATGAAATTGATAATTAGAAATTTCTTCACTGTTCTCCGAATTTCCTCCAAGTTTGGGTCAAATCGAATGCGCCGTTTTCAAACTTTAGGCATATCTAATAACACATTTCTTGGTCTGAAAGCGGAAGTATTTTTTTTCTGGAGTATTAGATAGAATTTGCAATGGACAGAATTCAATAAAATTGACCCGGCATTATTTTTTCACAAATACCTACCGTTTATCCAACTTTGAGCCAAATTGAAAAATAATGGGTCATCTACAAAAATGCGTTTGCGCGTGCGTAAGCGGAAGTGCTGGTTAGAATTAAATAAAATTGATACGGGACCATCTACACACCAATCCGCACAATTCCTGACAATTTCATGAAAATCGGATAAACCTTAGTAGGTGATATACCCGTTACATCGATTGGACTACAGATAGACCGACACCGAACCATATTTGATCTTTGATGTCTGAAACGTAAAACGCGAGTGGAAAATTTCGATTCTGAGCACAAATTTTTTTTTAACCTGTTGCACGAATACAATGCTTCTCTATGGTCAGTAGTGAGGAAGCAAAATTAATAGATGTAGGTATGTATGTATTTTTTTTTTTAATTTACTTATCTTTAAGTTATTTTATTTTATTTATTGTATATAATTTTTTATTATTATTCAGTTATTTCGCTTCTGTTTATTTTATATTTTTGTTGTACACGTTAAGTGAATGTTATCAATAACCAATGTCACTATTACCAACATCCAATTAAGAGAATGTTATGTTAGTCAATAAATAAATAAAATAAAAACAATAATAAAAGAACAATTATGACAAAATTTAGCCAAATGCTGAATCCAGTGACCAAGAGGCTAACTCAAGTCAAAGTCATCAGTCCGCCATGTTAGGAGGCCGTTTTGAGGCAGTGCGGTCACTTTTTTAATGGGAACATAGTTTTGTTTTGTTTTACAGTAAATATTGCAAGGAATACAAAGATATGCAATTTATTGGCATGTATAAATGTATGTATAAATTTGAGCCAAATTAAACGACCGCAATACAGAGACTCCATGGTAACAGAATTCAAGAAGCATAAGGTATTAACCAGTTTGTGATTAATATAAATATTAATAATGAATATTAATATAGATATATATAGAAGAAAGGGCAATATTAATAGTGTACTTACAGTCTCACATAGGTCGAAGATTTTGTTCACGGTGCAGAAATAAGTTATTATAAGTATCTGAAAAGAATAAAAATGTTCATTAATAATTGATAATTATTTATATACATGTGATATTTTGAGATCTTAATCTTTTATTAATTCCTATCTTATCTAGATGCTAATAATAATTTGTTTTTATTTATTGTGATCCAAGATATTAGTTGCCTTTTGTTGAATATATGGAAGTAATTATTACTTAATCAGTATAGGTGACAGATTGTAATGTTTTCGGAAATAATAAGCTTTAAGGATTATGCTTCCCTACCGCTGAAGGCAGAGAAGCTTTGTGTTCGCACGGAAGGTTGAAAGAAAAGTCCTCAGAATGGAAAGTTTCCATGTTCGAATTAGAATGTTATGGAACAAATTAGATTCCATGTTTGTTTTTAGTTAAATCCATAGGACGGTTATTTTACCTATTACCGTTAAATTTCATTAAATTCCATCCGCGGCATTAGCTTTCGCGTGCGCAAAAAATATTGTTCTTAATCGGTTCCATATTCATTATCGGCTCGTTTGATTTGATTCACGTTTGGAAATTAGTGAAAAAATAGTTCTTTGGAAATTTAATCGAATTTCATGAGCTATTTTTGCTTATTCTTACGCATGCATTGATTTTCTTTCTTACGCATATATTTAGAAAAATAATTGACCCCAATTTGGGAATCGGTATTGCATTAATTTAATCAAATTATTGAATATTTAATAGTTGACCGTTGCATTATAATCAAATTCCTTTAATCAAATTATATTTAAAATTTAAATAAATGTAATAAATTAATTTATTGGTAAGAATTTCGTTTAAATTAATTTTTATAACACATAATTTTCATCGAAATACAACTTGTCTAGAAAATCTAAGCTTTATTTTTTTAAGTATTGTTCTTATTATTTTTGAACCGTTTGGTTGCTTTATCGTGCTTCCTCTGTACACAGGACACATATTCTATCCAATGATTCACTATTATATTGTTAACATATATCCTATCTAATATTTATTCTCAATATATCTTTTAATCTGTATATCCATTAAAACTACCAGTATAGCAAAGTATTGTTAATAACCTCATCCTTGACGTTGACAACGAGGTTCGCAGCTGTCACTGGATAACATTCATCTGACCAGAATGAAAACACTCTTAACCCCAGAAGTAAGTAGCTCTGAAACAAACTAAATTTTAGATACTTACATACATATACATTATCTGTAGAAGTTATATTTCATTATATCAGTAATCTTATTTTCAATAGTGAGGTTGATATCGAACATAAAATAAATAATGGGAAAAGAATAATAAGTTCGATAAATTCAACCCTATGGAGTAAAGAAATAAGATTAGAAACTAAAAAGAAGATATACCATTCCTTTGTAGAAAGCGTAGCCACTCACGGATCAGAAGTTTAGACACTGACAAAAAAGATGGAAAATAAGTTGCTTTCCATGGAAATGGATTTCTGAAGAAGAAGCTGTGGCATATCTAGAATCGAGCGGATCCCAAACGCAGCTATTAGAGACAAGGTCGGGTGTCAAAAGAACATCCTTCAACTGATCGGGACCAAACGGCTAAAGTGGTATGGCCACTTAATGCGGATGGATGAGAACCGCTGGCCAAAGAAAATTTATACCTATATGCCACCTGAAAGAAGGAAGCGTGGAAGGCCAAAGAAGAAATGGATAGAGGACGTGGAGGAAAGCATGGCAGCCAGAGGGCTTTGTGAAGGAGATTGGATGGACAGGGAGCAGTGGCTTTTGGGTATTGGGGATTATAACTCCTTAAGTTGTATAAAACCCAAATAAAAAAAAAAAAATACATATAATTAATAAATGCATCATTCTACAGCATTCATTCAATTTCATTCTCATATTTCTTGTATTGATTGCCTAAAAAAGTTTTATTTATTTTTTTTTTACATACATTTACATTTAGTATTATTGTTTTGTTGTTTAATTTATTTTTATTTACAGTCTGCATGAACTACTCTATCACTATTCCTAACGTTCTTAATTTTGACAGAATATAATATTATTCAATATCAATGAAATGTGAAAAAGAAAATTATTAGATTATGTACATTGATTATAAAGGAAACAGTTATTGAAAATTGTATCATTAAAATTTATGTTTTAAATATTTAATTGCATTCAAGTTTTTTTGACTAATGTTGTTTTTTTTTAATTAGTAACCGGGGAAGGGACTGTCTCTATCCGTATACACTGTTAGATAAACGAAAGCAATATTTATTTTTAAAAAACTCTTTAAAACCTCCTTTTTCTCTCAAAATTCGGTCTTTTCACCCAAAAATTTACACAAAAAGCACACCATAATTAAGAATTCAACAACAAATTAATATTACAAAGTTAAAAGAACAGCTGATGACTGATTTAACTTTTATTTTAACAAAAGCAACTAAGAGAAAAGTTACCTAAAAAAAGTTGGGGCCAGTGGCTCCAACTCAGTAAAGCTTAGATTAAGCGTTATCTAAGCTTAATCTTGATTGTTCGATCTTACAAAACTTGGTTTAATCTTAGATAACGCTTAATCTAAGCTTTACTGAGTTGGAGCTACTGGCTCTCAGTGGGTAAACCATTTAAAGTGATCTAAATTATTAGAAGCAAACATAATTACAAAAATATGGAATTTTATATTAAATACTAAGCAGGGAATAAATTATATGTTTTATATTTTTCAATCAAGATTCAAATAACGTGAAATTTTGACAAACTATACATGTTGACGGTGTTTTAATATTCGGTCATTAATGCAGTCTATAATATAAATAATGTTCTTATAATTCATTATTAAATGTACGAAACATAAAAAAGAAAATATGGAGATGTAAGTTGTTTTATCAAATTCACATTGTTTTAATAATTCTAAAAACCAATAATAACTTGTAGAAACTAAAAAAAAAAATAACATTCGATAACAATCATTAAAGAATATTTTTAGAAATAGTAATGTTTAAATTTTTATTGGTATTCAATTAATTTGTTGTCAATGAAATTAGTATAAACATTGTATATGTCATCTTCAGGTTTCGGTGGTGAACTGGGTAATGGGGTAAGACCTACAGGAATATAAAATTTATTTAACGTTCTTTAATATAACTAGCTCTAGAATGAAATGCAGAAAGGTATTAGTTATCAAATAATGTGCGTTTGAAGATATAGAAGACTAATTGAGAATTAATATTGCTTCTTTAGTCTCAGAGAAGCGGGGTAGCTCAGTGGGCGAGCACTGACTTCCAGAGTTTAGGGTCCTAGATTCGAATCCGGCTAATGACTAGTAATTTTTCATTAGCCGTGGATCGCCCCTGGCATCGGGATACCCTCCTGATGCGCACCCAGCCTCTGTCAAGTGGTTACCCTTAATTAAAAAAAATAATTAAGGGAGAAAACCTGGCAGTTGAGCGTGATATTGGCCCGTCACCTCTCTGCACAACCATTGGTTTTGTACAGGCATGGTACAGGTCTTTAGTTTCTAATATTTATTTTCTTGAGTCTTGATAATTTATTATTGGTTATTAAAATTATTAAAATAAAGAGAGTTTGATTATATCTTTTGAAATACTTTGAAATGTTAATAAAACCAATTCAACCTTTAATCAGTATTATGTCTATTGGGCATAGCGATTTTATGATGTTTGAAGCAATTTTAACAGAAAGCGTAATTCCATTAATTTTGTACCTTTATTATTTCCGTAACCATTGATTTTATCAAGGAAATGTATTGAACAATGTTTATTGAGATTTCAATAAAGTACATTAATTTCGTATTGAATAATATTTGTGTCGAACCACATAGTTGTTGAGATATTCTCAAAAAAATGTAATACAAAATTACCTCCATTTTTTTTTTTTTTTTTTTTTTCATGTTCCGACTACTTAGTACAGATACTGTAGCAAATATATATATATTTTCAAAAACGTCCCAATATTTTTGTAAACCACTATGACCTAAACCGCTATGTATTGTACTCATCTTGTTAGCCATTGATGTGAAAATCAGCCGGGTGTTCATAAATTTTCACAACGTCGTTCTGACGACTTGCTGAGGTTGTATGTCACGCCTAAACGCCCCAGTTCCGAGAATTTTCATAGATAAAATATTTATAGCTTACGACAAAATGACTCAACACACGAAGTTTTAGGCGGATGTTAATAATTCCATAAAGAGGGGCCTGTGCCACGGACCAAAGCCTGTATATATTCTGCAGAATGTACTGATTTTTTTCACGGGTTCAGTTAAGAATTAGGTATGATTAGAACTAGCTGACGGCAAATGCTCATCACTCAGTAAAATGGTGTCTGATAGAGAGGAGTTTGAGTTCTCTAAGAAGTCAGTAAAATAATTTTAATTAATTTATTTTTTTGCCTATGTAAAATTTTAGTCTTACTAATTTTAACCTAAATTAATTTTAGATAAGTTATGATAAAGAATATGGCATGATAACAGTTTGTTTCTGTGAAAATTCTGTGATAGAAATAATATGTTAATATTATTAATTATTGTTCTTTGTAGTTATAACGATGAATACGGTGAATACATACCAAAAGATCCTGCACAATCAAACTGTAAAATAAAATAATATATTCAAAGACTATCTTTGGTAAAGAATCTGAAATTAAAAATTAGCTTAAAATAAATCATATCGTAATATAAGTTTATAGAGCCTACATATAATTCCAGTGGCATATAATTTTATTTACTTACCATATAGAACAGATGAAGGTTCATCAATAGCTGTACTATATTGTAGATTAGCATAGGGATCATTAAAGGAAATGGTTGCTTGTTCTTCATGTACAATGTTCCGTACTTAATAAAGGCAATGTAGGCTACAAGGATAAAAAAGAGGTTTTCGAGGCTTATGAACATTTTAACGCTAGGTTGCTACCAATAAAATGATTTCTGAAACAGATTTTAAATCAAGCCATCATAATCATAGGATACAAAGAACTTATTTTACACTAGCATATATGTGTGTGTGTATTTGTTAGCTAAGTCGAATTAGACATGTTACCTAGCAAAAGGTCGGGTACTTTTATTAGTTTACGCTAAATATAACCTTTATAAAGCAATATATTTAAAAAATGGTTGCATGCAATGCTAAAGAGCTTAGAATTATCTAAAATTTTTGTGGGGAAAATGTTTTTCCACGACCAACAGGAAGTGATCTTTCGAAGTTTACAAATTTGGCAAAAAAAAAAAATAAAATTTTTAGTGATAAAATAAAATCTCTTAAATATTAAAGGACACCAAATTTCCTACAGCTTTTATAATAACTTATTTTTCTAAACATAACGACTTAACTATAAATGGTTAAAAATAAAGTAATGTTTTTTAGTGGTTTGTAGTTATTTTAATGAGATTATCCATGAAGAATTACTGTTTTTCCCTCTAATTTCTCACAATTTTTCTCCGGTGAGTTTCCTCGAAAATTGGGAAATAAGAGTAAATAAACGTGTTAAAAGATGGAAAGAAATGAAAGCTATAAAAAAGTGAAATTGCACAAAGCAAATATTTAATATAAATATCAAAATCAATCGCAATACTTTCCTTACCTAGTATAAAAATTGTGAGAAATTAAAGAGAAAAACCACCAAGGTGGTTTTCATTGCTTTAGTTCAGCGAAGAAGTCGTAGTCAAATCTTTTCCCTAATCAATTTTCAAGGAAATAAATCCAACTCATTTATTTATTTTTTTTAATGGATATATTTTAAGATATAATTTTTTTTCTGAATTCTGCGGGAAAGTCGTGTGAGTGAACACATCAGATCTTTTTACTTTACTTATGTTTTTTTTTTGTTTTGTTTTTTTAACTTTTGTATTATCTATCATTTTTTTTTTCATATATTGATAAATATTCAAAAAAGGAATTATTTATTTATTCAGCATCATAAATTGATTTTGATATTCATATTAAATATTTGCTTTGTGCATTTTCACTTTTTTACAGCTTTCATTTCTTTCCATCTTTTATTTTAACATTAACATTAATAAAATAAAAAATTAAATAAAAATAAAGTGGATCATTAAAGTGGTAATAGTAAAAAAAAATCAAGATAACCCAATAAATTAAGAATAACAGATTATTTCAAAATCATTAAAAATGTCGGACAGAACATTGGAGAAAATAAAACAGAAAATCAGGTTCAAACGAACGGCATTCAACCTGTAAATATATATACCAGTGATAAGCTTTTAAATAAATATGGCCATGATATTATTAAATTTGATTTGTATAATAGTAATAATAATAATAAATTAGGCAAATATTTAATTAGAATGAAAGAAAAAATTATTATACAAAACTATCAAAATGTTATATAAGATAAACTGCAGGTAGCTTATGGAGAAATTTTATAAAGGAAAAACTCAAAATTTACATAATAGAATAATTAACATAATATGAATACAAAAACCCTAAAATATCAATGCCACAGCTTTATCCAGAGATAGCATAGCTAATAGCCAGATATTCGATTATGATAAAATTGAATGTTATATAAAGTAGAGGACAGTAAAATAGGAAATTTTTATAAATAATTTACATAATAAAAATATTAAAAAATGGGATTAATTTTTAAACAGTTATAAAAGGGATAGTATAGCATTATGTTGATATTAATAAAATGAACGAAGTTTTAGCTTATGCGGATGATGTAGTCATAATCGAGGGATCCCTCAGCATAAGGTTGTCCTTTAAAGCACAAATTGTAGAGGCAATGAAGATTATCCTACGTATACGAGAAGACAAAGATGATGGTAATATACAAAAAATAGCAGACTAAGAAGTGGAATAAGTATGAAATGAGTCCCTACAATTTTGATATGGTGAGAAGCTTCAATACTTAGGCTATATTTTTAATGATAACTTAGGTTGTCTCCACATTAAGATTAGTTAAGCGCGAATTTAAAACCCGTTCCATCAAGTTTATGATGTAGAAGACACTTATAAGACAAGTGGTCATGTTCATTAACTAAAATTAAGTAACATTGACCTTTATCAATAAAACCATCAACCTGCTGTACAGGTTCGAAAGAGTAATGTTGAGGAGAATTCAGGGAGAGGTATGTGAAAATGGCCTCTGGCGAAGAAGAAAGAACAGAAGAAAGAACTGTTTAGACTGAATATGGAAATTAACATCCCCTCCTTCATAAAAATAAAAGATTACAATGGCTCGGCAATGTTATGAAAATGAACGACAATACATTCAGAAATGAGGTATTCATCAATGCCCGGATGGTGTCGCCCAGGTAGGCCGAAGAGCTGTTGGAGGGATGATGTAAGGTAAGATGTTCGACAATTGAGGACCTCTTTTAGACACGCAAGAGACAGATCAAGATGGTCAATAGGGTTTCTTCGATCCTACCTTTCTGACAGCTCCTTCCGAGTACGCTGTGGAACATCATTTTCCAATATCTGTCCAGTTAAAACAGATGTTCACCATGGTAGTCTTATGGGTTCCGTGATTTACATTCCTTTACTAACAATCCCTGTTCATCCCGAAAGCTTCTTTGCAACATTGTCTTATGCCACCGTAATCCTATCATCCAACTCAATCCCGAAATAGGTACCTTAAATCCACTTAGCAACCTCTACCTGATTGAACACTGGTGTAATTCTGTGGCGTATAAAGTAAATAAATCCAAATGCTTTTACTTCGTGACATAAATCCTGTCCACCTGCTTAATTCCCACCACCTAATTTAATTCCATCCAGTTCCGATATTTTTCTCCAAGACTAACGTGGAACTGAGATACTAGACTTAAAAGAATGGGAAAGGCTGGGCTCAGAGTTCTCCTGATTGAATTTTTGTAAATGTTGTGTATAAGTATGTTTGTGATTAGTATAATTTCCTTTTTTGTTTATATCTGGATATATTTATTTGTAGTATTATTATTTTTCTGTTATTTAATTTATTGCACAAATGGTGTGAAAGAACTCCTCTATCACTATTACTAATGTCCTTAATTGTAACAATATGTATTAAAAGTCGATGACCTGTGATCTATAATAATAAATGTAAATGCATAAACATATTTTTTTTTTTTTTAATATGTAGATATTAGAAATCATGATTTTTCAAATAAGTAGCATCTAAAGTGAATAAGAAACTTTGGTTTTGGTTCAAGTCTATTGTAGGCATTGATCCATATTTATAAGTGATTAACTAAATATTGTTCCTGGATCTAATATTTACCTTTTCATGAAATTAATTCAAGCAATCACCAGTTTCTTTACTTTATACGAAGAGTTAAGGACTTGAAACATATTTTTCGTTACTTCTAAATACAGATAAGTTATCTCTAATAGTTATCTTGTTAAAAACACATTTTCATTACTAGTTGATGATGAATAATCGAAAAATCATTTTAAAATTTTTTTTTAGAAACAAATTCAGTCGATTGTGACGGTAAATTTGCTGTAACATCACAGTCATATAATGTTCAGTCATATAACCTAACTTAAATACACCCAGAGACCATTTTGCAAAAAAAAAAATTCACAAAATAATGTGTTTTCGTTGAAATTTCTTGTGATCGGAATACATCCCCTTATTATCTATTTCATATATATCCACACATATTAAAAGATTATAGATTATGCATGTTATTATTTTAACTTTATAAATTTTATGAAAAATAAAAATGAATATTTTTTAAGAATAAGGAAAATGTACTTACTTACAGAATGGAATAGAGACACTCAAGTGCCGGAGGTCAGGGAAGAAATGAAAGTATTTTTGGTTATACGTAACATTTTAATAATAATGAGGAGATTATTATTTATATGCAAATTATTCTTTTTCAATGAGGACTTTGCCTTAATCACATTTCAATCATGCGCATTAGGGTGGAACGACAAACACATTTTTCGGCAAACAAGTTTCTAATAACATTCAAAAGTTGTCTCTTTATCATAACAAAAACACGACGAAATTTTGTTGTTTAATAATTATACATTTATAATTACTTAACCAATTGTTTGGGGTTGAACTATTTACAATTAATTGAATACAAAAATTATATTTTACTTTGTTTATGTGACTGATTATTAATTATAACTTTACCTTTGTTATTTTTTCTTTGATCCAAGTGAATAGACAACTGTCCATTGGAAATTCTTTTTTTAATCACTTACTGGCATGACACTTATTGCCTTTACATAGATTTGGTGTAATTTTCAGTAAAATTAAAGTCATTTTTAGTGTGTATTGGTTAAAAAAAAAAAAAGTCTTATTTGTGATTGTGTTTATTTCCATTGAAGTTCAACCAGGTTGTGGTCTCGATTTTTTCCTTAAATATCGAAATTTTGTCAACTTCACTCAATTGTTTATATTCCAGCTTAATTAGTTTTGTTCTGACTGAAGAAAAGTATTGGTCTCGTTAACTCCGAAAAAACAAAAAGTAGAATTTTTCCTAAGGATTTTTTGTTCCATTCAGTTTACGAGTGAAAACATACCTATTAAGTATATATCACCACTATTAGTGCAAAGGTCGTATATAAAAGTTTTCAATTTTTATTCTATTTTGACATTATGTAGTCTTCAATTGATATAAGTAGCCTACTACTACGAAAAATAGCATAATATAGAGCAATAATATATAAAATTATACTAATAAATCATAAAGAAATAATTAGTTTTGCTATGCTCTCCTGGAAACACACAACTTTTAATTACGTCCTTTGCATTAACAGTAGCGAGATACATATTCAGTATGCACTGGAATTGTGTTTTTTAATTACGAATTATCTAGTATGCAATCTGCAAAAGCTGAACTTTTTCGCATTTTAGTATTTGCTGATAAACAGAACTAGTGGATATCAAACATGTATATGTTGAGGTATCACTGAATTTCCGAAAACGGCTTCTTCCAGAGATTTCATTCTCATGAGAAAATTTT